GCCCTCCTATTTATAGGGCAAGGGTTCGGCCGAGAAGGGTGACTCAGCGAAGACACGCGGTAGCTGCGCAGGGCTCCAGCGAGGCTCGGACGGAAGTGGTGACGAAGCAGCTTGGTGGCTCGGCTGCGAAGCGGGTAGGCGAGACGTGGATGGGCGAGGTTCGGACACCGCAGCGAGGCGCGCCGGATGTTGATTGGCTCGCACTTCGGTCGAATCAGCACGCGACACACGATGCTTCTCGGAACGGCCACGTCTCCGGTGACGTTGCTGCTTCGTGCGAAGTGACGTGTCCGAACACTGTTCATGCGAGTTTTCTCGGTTTTCGGGCCCCGAACTTCTAAAATCCTAAACTTTCGCATACGAGCTCCGTTTTTTACGTTCTTTATATGCACGCGTAGCTAAAATTACGCTCTACAACTTTCATTTAGATTTCATTGGCTAAATTTGATTTAATTTTAATATTATTATTTTTAACAGACCGGGACAGGAAAATCCGTTAAAATTTCATAACTTCTTCATCCGACATCCGTTTTCGTCAGATTTTTACCGTTGTACTACAAATGACGAGACCCTCGATTCTCGTTTAGAATGTATCGGTCAAATATCGCTCGATCTAAAATTCGAGTTTTTAGCTGTCTATTGCTATGTTGAAATTTCGAAAAATCATAACTTCCTCATACGAAGTCAGATTTTGGCGTTCTTTTTATCGAATTTCTCGGTTTAACGAATACTACGAATTTCATTTAGATTAATAAGGCTAAAAAGTAGTTTATCAAAAACTCACTTTTTACGTCATTCGGTGCCGTGCTGGTTTTGTCGCGGATCTTCGGTTGGTCATAACTTCTTCGTTATAATTCGGATTTCGACGAGCTTTTCGCCTACAAATTTCTAACGAAATTCTCTACAACATCAAATAATAAAATTTTACTTATTTAAAATTTTATATTTTCGCTAAATTTCACTATTTGGCTTTTAATTGGAATCTCATAAGACTTCCAATATTTTCTGAGTGATTCTAAACATAGTTTTACTTCGTTTCTAGTAAAAACCATCTTTTAGAACTCAAAACTCAATTTCAGATTGTATTTCACAATTTTATTCATTACAAAACACGATTTCAAAACGTGTATGTTACACCTACCTTCCCTTAGCTGAGTTTTTGTACAACAACAATTATCACTCTGTTATCAATGCATTGCCTTTTGAGCTCTTCTATGGGAGGAAGTCTCGTACCCAGTATGTAGGGGAGAGGTGGATCATAGGGTCATGGGAAGGAGTGAAGTAGTCCTTCAGATGATAAAGCTCATTCAACATCTTAGGTAGAGACTTCATACAACTCAGAGTCTGCAGAAGAGTTATGCCGACACGCGATGATCCGAGTGGGAGTTCTAGGTCAGCGATATGGTCTTACTGAAGGTATCACCCTGTAAGGGTGTAATACGCTTTAGGAAGAGGGAAAATCTAGGGCCCCGATATATGGGGATATTTCGGATGATTTCCAGGGTTAGTAAGGTAGCATATATATTGGATTTTCTTGGGGAGCTTAGTCAGATTTACAACACCTTCCATGTGCCTCAACTTTGGAAGTGTGTGGTTGATGAATCAACGGTTGTTCCCTTAGACGATATTCAAGTTGATAATCTTTTAAACTACATTAAGAGACCAGTGATGATCTTGGATCAAAAGGCGAAGGCCTTATCCAACTAGGTGGTGTCTTTGATCAAGGTTCAGTGGCAGCATCGAAAGGGTTCTGAATGGACGTGGGACCCCAAATAAGAGATACGAGAGCATTACCCTGATTTTTTCACAGCAGCTAACTTCAAGGAAGAATTCTAGTTTAAATGGGAGCGAATTATAACATCCTGATGTTTAGGTGTTTCCAAATTTTACCATAAGTATGAAGATTATTACATTTTAGCCCTCGTGTATGAGAAGTGTTGCAAAATGGCCCATAGTGGCATTTTTGTAAATGATGGAAGTGGGGTACATACGCTGGGTGTATGTGGCAGGATCCCAAACCCTAATTTTTAGGGTTTATACCCTGTTTAAACATCTTTATGGCCTCCAAGTCTTTTCTCTCAACATCCCCCGTTACTTCACTTGACCATAGCAAACTCTACTTCCTTGTTTGAGTATTCTTGACATTTAGTGTGCATTTTGGTAATGTTGAAGGAGAAGGAAGGAATTGGAATCACCTTGGAAGCTTGAGGAAGATTTGGTTCTGGAATCCTCATCTATCTACCAACCTCCAAGAGGTATAAAGTTCTGAACTTGGCTTGCATTTCTTTAGATTATGTTAGCTCTTGAGTCTTGAAGCATTTTGGTCCCAAATCTAACATTTATAAGTATGGCGTACTCTAGCCCGTATAATATGTCCTTTCAAACGTTTTGATATGTCTAGAAGCATAAAAATATGATCTTGGTTCTTATTTCTTCCCCATTCATGTGTTACGATATCCGAATGGATTAAAAAATTAGGTTTTGTTGGTATTACGCACTTCTAGCCATGCAAAGTCATAAAGTTGGAAACTTTATGGCTTATAATGATATTTTGGGCTTGGATCTAGATTTGGACGTAAGGAATTGATGGATTAAGCTCTAAATAAGAGGTGGCTAGGTGCGTAGCATATGCATATGAAAGAACCTCTTTCATAATTTAACTACATCATATTACTCCAAAACATGCTACATGCATATTCATAAATAATATTTTACAATGATAATTTGATTACCAAAGACTAGATACAAACTGACTATTTAGACTATTACAAAATGTTATATATTACATAACTATCCAGGATATTTTAGTTTTATACATACATGTGTACAAATACAAAAGTAATAGTTTTAACTATTCAAAATCTTCTATCAGTATATGTCTATATTGGATGCTTATTAGCTGCAATTGTTAAACACTGAGAGGGGTAAGCGGTGATGCTTAGTGAGATCAATAATAGATACAATATAGCGTTATGTCGTATATATACTTCAATATGGCAGAAGAAAAGAGGAACAAGGAGCAACAAAGACATATGTGAATCATGTGACAAGCTTTCCGTATCAATCGATGATTTGATTCAAAGATATACAATCAATGAGATGTAACAATTTCAGTACTTGATATATATCAACAATGCTTCGGCCCATATGGCAAGAAGACATACACTTTCTGATTTAAACAGTTTGATAGATTTCAGGCTTTTAGCCCTATCTAACCTTCTGCCAATGCCATAGGGGTAGAAGTTATTCTCTTACGAGACATGCTCTACACGACCAAAGGCTACATACCAATACCACTGTGAATCTAAGTCCTTCCACTGAGCACATGCTCAAAGGTACAACTATGCTACCATAATAGCACAAAATAATAACACGGAAAATCACATAGCATATATAACACATAACATACAATTGTTCCTATATATTGAACTCACTGTGATATAACCGAAGGAATAAATGATAACTTGGGTTGCACTTCGACTCTAAATATGACTTTATGTGATGAAACCAGGGATTTTAGTTGAAAACCGGCCTTACTCGGGTAGAGTTTCGACTAGAAAATATGATTTTCTCGGGAACATCGGAGCGTCGGGACTTGCTTCGGATGACGGGGATGACACCGGAACCTTGAGGGTTTAGAAGTAGGTAAAAAGGAGAGTAGAGAGTGAAAGGTGTAAGAACATGCAACCTAAAACCAGAGACCTCCACATCTTATTTATAGTAGGGATTCTGACCCTCGTACGCTGATCGTACTTGCGAGAACGCAGGGCGTACTAGCGACATGTGATGGTTCAGAAACCGGGCCTCGGGCATGGCTGTTCCGTGTCGATTATGCGAAGAGAGGGCGAAGTGGCTGAGTCCTGACCTTGTTTCCGAGTACGTTGGGCGTCCGAACGAAGTACGTTGAGCGTACTTCTCTGGTCCAGTTTCGTAATTTGTACCACAAACTTCAAAAATTTGTATTTTTTTCATACGAACTCCATGTTTGACGTTCTTTATATCCACGCGAACGTGAAACTATGCTCTAAAACTTTTGTTTAGACTCCATTGGCTAATTTTGAATTTATTTTTAAAGTTATATTTTTAACAGACCGGTACAGGATAAATCCGTTAAAAAATTCATAACTTCTTCATCCGACGTTCGTTTTAGTCTATCTTTTTACTGTTGTACTCCTATTGACGAGACCTTCGATTCTTGTTTAGGATGTCTCGGCTAAAAATCACTTGATCTTTATTTAGAGTTTTTTAGCTGTTTACGGCTATACTGAATCTTAGATCATAAAGGCTAAAAAGTAGTTTATCAAAAACTCACTTTTTACGTCATACGGTGTCGTGCCGATTTTGTCGCGAAACTTTAAGGAGTGATAACTTTTTCATTATAACTCAAATTTCGATGAGGTGTTTGCCTAAATGTTTCTAACGAGATTCTTTACGATTTTCAATAATAATTTTTTTTTACTTATTTTCAACTTTATATTTTCGTAAATTTCATAACTAACATTTGATTGGAATCTCATAAGACTTCCAATACTTTCTCACTACTAGAAAAATACCCTTTAATGACGCACGAACCATGACACTCGCTATTTTATGATACGTAAATGCGTGTGCCCTAAAAATAATGTTATCTCTCCAAAAATTAGAAGGATTTAGGGCACGTACTTTTGCGCGCCCTAAAATAAGTGTCACATTGAAAGAAAAAAAAAAACACGGAGGGCACATAACATAAAATGGGCGTCGTGTAACCATGTCGCTTTATATTTTCTTAATGAAACGCGGGGTCTCTTCTCTGGGGGGAAATGAAATTCTGAAAAGTTTGAAAGGCCCGCCGTGCTATTACCTTCTTTCCACCGTTCTTCTCTCTCTTACTCAAATACCCAAAAAAACCCTAAGTCATCACCAAATCTCCGATCTCCCACCGGCAAAATGTCTCCACCTACTCTCTGCCCTCACACTATTTCTCTCAATTAAAAAACGCAAAAACCCTCAATCAGATAACCATGGCTACTTCTCCCTTCCTTATCTTCTCAAAAAAACCAAATTTCTTTAGCTGTAAATTAATTGCAAATCCGACCCGAAGACCGGTACCGTACTCCGAGCTCACTCTCCTTCAGGAAGATTCTACACCTCGCCATGCTTCCTCCACCTCCGCCTTCTCGTCGAGCCCGTCCTCATTCTTTCAGAGTCGATCTACATCACCTACACATGTCAACGTATACGGATCATCTCCATCGGCATCGAATATACGATTTTCTCTCAACAATCGTCAAATTTCTCCGAGTTGTTCGATCTTTGTAATTACGAGGAGTAATAATAGTAATCAAGCGTCAAAAAAGCAATTAGATAAACCAAGGAGGATGTGTATGTGTTCTCCTACTTTGCATCCAGGTTCGTTTAGTGTTTGATTCTAGTGTAAAGATGATTTATCTTTTATCTTTTACAGGCTATATGATCCTCGTATACCTGAGTTAGAAAAATTTCTACATAAGAATTTGTTCTTCCCTTCTAACAAATTCTCTGATGCATTTCATGAAGATTCTGTAGGCAAGCTGTTCGATGAAATGCCAGGAGACGAGTTTTGGTCTGAACTAAAAGCCATCAGATGGTATCTTGTTTCTGTTGACCCACCTTTGACCGGACTTCCATGGTTAGTGCCAGATAATACATGTACACACATAATACATGTACATAGATGGTATCTTGTTTGGTTTTCCTGTTGTTTTTTAGTTTGCAATTGTACACACATATAGCTATACATACATGCATATGTATACATACATATATAGATAGAAATACATGTATGTATGCATATAGATACATGTATGTATGTATCTATGTGTGCCTCCTTGTCATTTTTTGGCTATTTGAAGACTTGGCCTCACAGGTGACCTTAATTACACCCCTGTTGGTGAGATGCGAACAGAAACAAAGTTGCTTCCCCAATGTTGGGAGCAAGTGAGGATAAAAAGATTTCATTTTATTGTTTTATTGTTTTTTCATTTTATTTATTTATTTATTTTTATTTAATTTTATGCAGATTAGTCACATGTATGAGGAAGGCAAGCTGCTTGTAGCTCAATCATGTGTGGAGCTTGTAGGATTTGTGGAACTGAATTCACCTTCTCTTGGTAAGTGGAAAAGTTTTTTATGCGATTATATATGTTGCAGATCAACCGAGTTGAATTTATTCAATGTAAATCATTTCTGCATAGGGATATAAAGCCAGACAACTTCCTTATTGGTTTAGGGAGGCGTGCTAATCAGGTTTCATTCCATAATTTGTTCCATATGTCCATTGTAGATTCTGTTTTTTATAGTTTTATACATAAAACATATATAAACCTACACGTTACAGGTCTATGCTATTGATTTCAGGCTAGCCAAGAAATATAGAGACTCTTCAACTCATCAGCACATTCCATATAGGTGAGTGAATTTTTTTTAAAACTTTCAGCAGCAATTTTTTATTCATAAAAAAGTGACCCCTAATCAATCTATATTTTATATCTTTCAAATTGCAGAGAGAACAAGAATTTGATAGGGACAACTAGATATGCAAACATGAACCCAAGCCTGATGAAACATAAGAGGTCAGTTTAATGTGAACTTATTGTATGCAAGCATTAATCCATCTTCTGAGCAATATTGGACAAGAAATATGCAGGATAATATAAGTGAACAGTTAACAAGTGGCATCATGCCTGAGCAGTTAAGTCTTTACTATCATGATCCTCAAGGGGAGATTCAGGGACCATTTCTTGGGGTAGACACCATATCATGGTTTAATCAAGGATTTTTCGGGGCAGATTTGCCAGTTCGAGTGGAACCTTGATATCTCAAGTTGTCGTATATATGGCATTTCTCGTAGATCATAAGGCCACCATCATTGATAAGCATCCAGGCATATTGGTCAGCTTCCTTTGCCAAAACAAATAAATGAAGAAAAAGTGTTAACAGAAATCAACAGTGACAAGGATGTCATGTGGATGGGTTTCACCTCTCAACATTAGTAAACTTGCTATGAAAGGAAGAGAACCCTTTTTTCTTCCTTGCACCCCAAAGGCAAGCCAATCAATCCTATTTTATTTACCATTTAGGATAGGGTATAAATATAATAAACAAAACAGATAAATGATTTTTTTCTGAAACAGGGATGTATAGAACTTCTGAAAACGTGTAGTTGTTGGTAGAAGTAACATTGTTGGGTTACCAGTTTCAATACTTCTATTGAAGGAAGATGTAACAGTTACTGTTGTTCATCCGCGTACAGAGGATCTAGAAAGTATGATTCATGAGGCAGACATTTTTATTGCTGCTATTGGACAACCCATGATGGTAACCATAACCAAACTTATACAGTTTACATTTATACTTAATTCATTGCTTATAATGATTTTATTTATTTGGATTATAGGTTGGTTAGTTTACACTTTGGTTTGTTGAATTGTTTTATTATTATATAAAGGGTAGTTGGATAAAAGTGGGGTTGTGGTTATTGATGTGGGGATGAATGTGGTCAATGATGCTACCAGAAAATCAGGATATAGGCCTCTGGGTGATTTTGGCTTAACCCATTAAGTGATTCTGCATAGATTAAGTAAATTTTCAAGTTTTTTCTTTTTTTTTTCATATATTTATGACAAATTCTTGATTTAATTTAATCAATACATTTTTGGTTTTATAGCTTGAAGATGGGGACATTATCTGCTTCCAAAAACCTCTCAAGGGCGGAACTGTAAAAAACCGCTATCAAGATGTTCCATCTTTTCTGGAATATGTTCATAATCATCAGGTATACTGTGAAACTTAAATTTATATTTTTTCACTTTTTCCCTTTTTATGTTTATGCATACGTATAATAAGTATATAACATATTCCGTGTATCTAGGTTGTACACTTTCGTTCACTCGAGAAACCAAAAGAGGATCAGTTCTCATTGGAACTATAAGTTTCCTAAGAATAAGATATTAATTTCACGGTGGTAAGTATTTTGTATTTTTTTTTATTCTTTTGTATGTTCCTATTAATTAATAATAGTATGATATGATATGATCTGATTAATAAGTAAGTTTCTACTTGTTTATCAATCAATCCAATCATCACATATTCATACATAATTATAATTATGCTTATGTTTATTTTAATTTCAGGTTGCTGACTGAAATCCAGCTCAACGCCTTGGTGCCATAGGAGCTATACAGTTAACATTTTCTCTCTCCCTTTTATATATATATATATATATATATATATATATATATATATATATATATATATATATATATATATAAAGAAAAGGCAAAGAGGTAGGAAGTTAATTGATAAATAATGTGTGTGACTTATTAATATAAAAAAAAAAGGTAAAGACGCACCATTTCTTTAAGAATATCCACTGGGACACAATTTGTCATCATAGAAGAAGACCCTGCTGTCTCACAAGGGTAATATTGCAATAGGGCTGACATTGTTCTTAAGATGCACATTTATGAAAGTACGTTGTTATTCTCTGCATGATATGTTCACTTGTTTGATGACATTTATGTTTGTACAGACTCCAAAAAAGTAATGGTATTGAGCTTTTGCAGTCGTGTTGGAGCTTAAACTGCACAAACAAGTGATGGTTTGTACATACTCCAAAGAAGTAATGGTTTTGAGCTTTTACAGTCGTGTTGGAGCTTAAACTGCACAAACAAGTAATGGTTTTGAGCTTTTAAAAGTAGAATGTCCTAATAAAAATTAATTTTAAAAGTAGAATGAAAATGACAAGTGATTTTGAGTTGTATTTATAGGGTTGATGAAAGCGAATAGCCTTGGAGTTAGAAGTGGAAAAGAAAGCTCAAGCTGAAAGAGATAAGATGCTGAAAATGCAAGTGTTGCATTCTTCATTTTAAGTGTTAGTATGAAACATAGAGTAGATTAGATAGATGCAAAATTTTATATTGTAAGAAATAGAATTGTATGACATTAAATTTTATGCAATGGATTGTATTTTTTTGTATATGGTATTTTATTTCTATTATGACACATTAAATGCAAATTTAATTTAAAAATTCATAAAAACATAAATAGATACTTTTTAAATATTTAAATTTACGATAGGCAAAAATGTGTGTCATCTTCATTTATGACATGGCCTTTCTTGACAGGGGCTTTCTTGATACGCATTGCGTGTCATTAACACGCGTGTCGTAATGTTACGACACGCGAATGCGTGTCATCTTCCTTTATGACAGGGCCTTCCTTGATACGCATTGCGTGTCGTAAACGAGCGTCGTAATTGTGCGTCGTAAATGAGCATCGTAAATGCGCGTCATCTATAGATGACGCGCAAAAGCGCGTCGTCTCTCTTTATGACAGGGCCTTCCTTGACGTGCATTTGCGCGTCGTCTAAGCCTTTTACAACGCGCAATGAGCGTCGTAAAAGGCTGTTTTTCTAGTAGTGTCTGAAAGATTCTAAACATAGTTTTACTTCAATTCTAGTAAAAACTATATGTTAGAACTCAACGCTCATAATCATAAAATATTATTTACTTTTAAATTACAAAACACGATAACTGAACGTGTATGTTACAAATACTTCCTCCTTTTAAGGACTTCGTCCCCTAAATTATAACGATTTAAACAAATGGGAATATTTCGCTTTTATCTCATTCTTATTTTCCCAAGTATAATTTGGGCATCGATGGTGTTTCCACTTGACAAGCACCAACTCCACTTCTTTGTTACGCAATTCAGTCGTTCTTTCGTTCATGATTTATTCAGGATCTTCTACATATCTTAATTTATTATCCAGTTTAACCTCGAATAACGAGATCGGTTCATCATATATACTTATACATTTACGCAAATAACTCACATGAAACACATCATGAATACCTACCACATCTTAAGGTAATTCCAAGCGGTATGCTTGTTTACCAATTCTCTGGATGATTTTGAAAGGTCCAATAAATCTGGGACTCAACTTCCCTCTCCTCCCAAATCGCATAAGGCCTTTCCATGGGGATACCTACAGCATTACAAAATCACCCACCTAAGATTCTATATGTCATCTCCTCTTTTCTGCATAAGACTTCTGTTGATCCTGGGCAGCTTTCATTATTTTTCATATAATTTGAATCTTGTCGGTGGTGCCTTGAATCATTTCAGGGACTCTAAGGATTTTCTATCCTATATCACCCAACATAATGGTGTACGACATTTACGACCATATAATGCTTCATATGGTGCCATTTTGATTGAAGTGTGGTAATTATTATTATATGAAAATTCAACAAAATGTAAATACTTATCCTAGTTACGACTGAACTCCAAGACACATGCGCGAAGCATATCTTCTACTTTTTCGATTTTTCTCTCCGTCTGACCATCTGTCTGGGATGATAAGCTATACTGAGAGCAACTCGAGATCCCAATTCCTTTTACATTCTAGCCCAGAAGTGAGAAGTGAAGCGAGTATTACGATCAAAAATGATCTTTAGTGGCACACAATGTCTCGCAACAATTTCATCCAAGTATGCTTGTGCGTATTTCTCCATTGGAGTCGTTTCACAAATGGCGAGAAAAATGTGCGCTTTTAGTTAGGCGGTCGACAATTACCCAAATGCTATCATGTTTTCTAGTAGTCTTTGGAATTTTGGTAATAAAATCCATAGACAGCTCTTCCCATTTCTACACAAGAACACTAAGACTTTCTGGAGTTTCATAAGGCTTTTGGTGCTCTATTTTCACTTGTAAGCATACTAAGCATTCCTGCACATATTTTCCAATGTATATCTTTAATCCATGCCACCAATAATCAGTCGGTACATCATAGTACATTTACATGTACCAGGATGTATTGACAGTTTAGATTTATGGGCTTCATCCAAAATCTTTTGTCTTAATCTTCCAATCTTTGGAATCCATAGCCGATTCTTAAATACCTTCAATCCTCGTGGATCATCAGATAAAACATCAGTATAATGTATCATCCCTTCTTTCTTCTCATTTTTTAGCTTTAAGGCCTCTACTTTCCATTTCTCTAGTTCATCAAGAATAGTGAAGTTTACTGTAGTGTGAGTAATAGTATAACACATACTATTACGATAAACTTTTCTGCAAAGATCATCAGCAACTACATTGGCATTTCCAGGATGATACACGATTTCACAGTCAAAATCTTTGATCAGTTTCGTAGCTTGTTGTTGTCTCATATTTAGAGTTTTCTCACTAAATATATACATGATACTTTTCTGGTCGGTAAACAATTGGCATTTTGTACCAAAAAGCTAATGTCTCCAAAGTTTAGGGAATATACCACTGCAACAAGTTCAAGGTCATGGGTGGAATAATTCTTTTCATACTCTTTCAGTTGTCTTGAGGCATAGGCTATTACTCTACCACGTTGCATCAACACACAACCGAGTCCCAACTTGAAGCATCGCTATACGTGGAAAAATCATTATCACCTTCTGGAAGTGATAAGATCCGAGCATGAATCAAAAGATCTTTTAAAGTCAAGAAAGCCTTTTCTTGGGCATCACCCCATTCGAACTTGGTTTCCTTTCGTGTAAGACTTGTTAGAGGTACAACGATATGAGAAAAGTCTTTAATGAATCTTCGGTAATATCTCGCGAGAACCAAGAAACTGAGAATTTCATAAGCATTACGGGGCGCTTCTTAATTTTGAATGGCTTTGACTTTGGTAGGATCTACGGATATACCATCACCAGAAATCACATGGACCTGAAATTGAACTTGGCGAAGCCAAAATTCACATTTCGAGAATTTAACATATAGTTTCTCATTTCGTAGAAGTTCTAATACCTCACAAATATGAATGATGTGATCGGATTCAAACTTGGAATAAATTAGAATAATATCAATGAATACGATGACAGATTTATCGAGCATTGGACGACATACCCGATTCATCATTTCCATGAATATAGAAGGAGCATTTGTCAAACCGAATGGCATAACAAGGAATTCGAAATGCCCATAACGAGTACGGAAAGCAATTTTTGGCACATCCTGCTCATGTAATTTCAACTAATGATAGCCGGATCTCAAATCAATATTCGAGAAATAGCTAACACCCTGAAGTTGATCGAACAAATCATCAATGCGAGGTAGTGGGTACTTGTTCTTGATAGTTACCTTATTTAGCTCATGGTAATCAATACACATTCGCATCAAACCGTCTTTGTTCTTGACTTAAGTCTTTGTTAAGTAATTCTTGTAGTTGAATCATCATTTCCTTCATCTCAGCTGGCACAAGAAGATAAGGACTTTTTTGCAATTGGAGCAGCACCAGGCATAAGGTCAATTCGGAATTCTACTTGCCTGTCCAGAGGAAGTCCAGGCAAATCATCAGGGAAAACATAAGGATATTTATTAACAACGGGAACATTATTTACAACTTTCTTCTCCTCTTTTGAGATATCAACTGTGTAAGCTAGATAAATAGAACACCCTTTCGATATAAACTTATAGGCATTAAGGAAAGATTTTATTTTTAAGATTCTTTGTTCATCGTAGACATAAACAAGATTCTTCCCTTCAATAGGAATGCGTACTATCTTTTCATAGCACAAGAGTTCTACGTGGTTCTTTGACAACCAATCCATGCAGAGAATAATATCAAAGTTGGGCAAGGAGATAAGAATCAGATTAGCAAGAAAATTGTAGCCTTCAATTTCTATGACACAATCCTTATAGATTTTATCAGCAAGTAACGATATACATCCCGCAGTATCTACGTGAAATGGTTGCACGAGTGCATAGCAAGCAATTTGAAAAGAATGTGCAAATTCATGAGACACAAAAGAATCTGAGGCACCAGAATCAAATAAGATGTGAGTAGGTCTAGATTTGATAAGAAATGCACCCATCACAACATCAAGGTCCTTGCGTGCCTCCTCTGTAGTAATCTAGAATGCACGACCCTTAGCTTTTTGCAC